GTTGTTTGGCGAGATATTTGGCTAGGTTTTGTATAGGTGAGCCTATGGAGCTGACTATAGGTCTGAGTGGGGTTCCTTCTTTGTGTATCTTGGGGAGACCATAGAGTTTGGGGCATCTGGATGATTTCTCTCTGGGAATGATTCTTTGCTGGATCTCTTCGCTAATGGGGGAGGCTTTTATTTTGGATATGGTGGTTTTTTCCAGGTAGGTGGTGGGATCTGTATTTAGGGGTTTGTATGTGGAGTCTTGGAGTAGGTTGGTTAATTTGGTTTGGTAGTCAGATGTGTTCATAACCACCGTGGCGTTGCCCTTGTCTGCTGGTAGTATTATTATGCTGGTGTCTTCTTTCAGGTTACGTAGTGCTGTCTGTTCCTCTTTGGGTAAGTTGCTTTTGGGTGGCTTGCTGGTGCAGAGGATGTTGGTTATTTTGAGTCTGATTCTGTTAGCGTCATCGGGGTTGATTTTGGTCAGGCTGGTTTCAACTCCACATATAATGGTTTCAGTGGGGATGTGTTTGGGAGCGACTGAAAAGTTGAATCCTTTGGAAAGGACATTGGTTTCGGCTTTGGTGAGAATCCTATCTCAGATGTTATGCACTGTTTGTTTCATGTGTGGCTGTGAGGGAGGAGGGGTTTGTTTCTGGTGTTCTTGTAGTCTTCAGAGTTTGTTGGTGTGTGTATCTGTCTTGAGGGTGGTCTGTGTTTCGGCTCTCCAGACGGCGAGTTGTTTGGATTTGTCCCAAAGTGCGGGGTGAATCTTGTTGCTGAGTTTGAGGTGGAGTGTGAGGAGATCTTTGTTAATTCGGTCTAGGAGGAATCTTTTTGTGTGAAGTTCATTTCTGATTAGGGCCAATTCTGTTCTTTCCAGGATCCGTTTGGTGGCTGCAGAGTTGGAGTGGAATTTCAGTTGGAAACATGTGGGGATTAGATTTTGATCTCGGCAGTTGCGTAGGAATGCGAGGTCGCATAAAATGGAAGCTCTTTGGACTTCAAGTTTTTCATAGGTCCTGGTCAGATGGTGGATTTCCTCCAACCTCTACATACATACATATACATACACACATATTGTTATGACTGTAAGCCACCCATATGGTAAGATGGCCAGCTAATACATTTTATAAATAAATAAAGATTGAAGAATGGAAGGATGAATGGGTGGATGGACAGAGAGGAAGAGAAAAGAGAAGGGAAGGGAAGGGGAGGGGAGGGGAAGAGAGGGGAGGGGAGGGGAGGGAAGGAGAGGAGAGGAGAGGAGAGGAGAGGAGAGAAATGTTGAAAATCCCCATTAGATTTTATGAGTGGTCCAAAACTAAGGAAATATACATTTGTGAATTGTGACATCTCTTATATATGGAATTCATAGACAGATGATATACAGAAAGATAATAGATAGGACGGATAGATAGATAGATAGATAGATAGATAGATGATAGATAGATAGATAGATAGATAGATAGATAGATAGATAGATAGATAACTAGGAAATGGGAATGGGAATATCTGGGTGGATACAGAAATCCCATGAAGGGGTCTACATTACTCACCTGGGACAAAAGTGACATGGAAGCATCAATTTCTACACAAGAATGATTCCAACATCTGCATCCTCATTTTGTCTCACAACACAGAGCGATTCTACCTCTATTTGCTTGCCTTCACTCTAACAATAAAGTACTTTGTACCACATGGGTACTTCCAATTAAATATCAACTGAATGACAGTAGTGAACTAGATAGATGCTGTTGTGTAACATATGAATTCACAATCATGTTGCTAATAATCAAAGCAGTGGCTTGCATGGTTAGGATTCTGGGCTGACAACTGTCAGGCTTACGTTTGAGAGCCTGTTGCTGCTGTGTGGCCGGGTGAGCTCCCGTCACTCACTCCAACTCCTGCTAACCCAGCAGTTCGAAATTGAGTGCCCACAAATAGATGGGTACCACTTTGGTGGGCAACTTAACAGGGGCACAATGAATGGGTGGATGGAGAGAGAGGAAGGCATCCCCTGGGCAACGGTGATGTCACTGGCTAATCCTTTCAACCTGAAAGCACTGTAGTGCGTCTGACATGAATGGGATGGGAAACAAAGCACTATCCATGGAATGCTGTCCCAATGAAATGGGAGGAGGCAGCATCAATGTGATCAGCATCGATAAATTCAATATCACTTCATAGATTTTTATTAATACACGAGAGTTCAATACAGAGAACTCTCTACATCTAGCCTCTTTCCACAGTATTTGACAACAACACATCTTGTGTTAAATGTCATAATACATGTCAAAAAGTATTTGCAATGGGACATCAGAATGCTGTCCATGTCACCTATGAACCATCCCTCCAGAGGCTACTGCTCTCTGGTTTTACCATGAATTTTGTTCATGTTAAATGACTGCAATAGTGTTCATGGTCACAGATACCGATTAAGTAGCTAAATACAAGATTAGTGAACAAAACACGTTGAAGGAGTACATGGACATAAAAAGAGAAACACTATCACTAGATGGAATTCTCACAGGTTCAGAAGAACATTTGAAAAGGAGTCTCCAACAAGAGTATTCAATCTGCTTTTTTGATCCACACATCACATACATTTGTTAAGTGTACACTTAACAATTGATAGTTGAAATGACTCAGATTATTTTCAGCATCCCTGTTCAAAAGCCTTTAGGTTGGGTGTGTTTGCATATACCTCTATTCTGGACAATGAGTTTGTTTAAACCTGGAAGAATAGTGAAAACAGCAGTGAATAGGAAGAGGAAAAAAGCAGAAAACCAGATAAAGGTAGTCCTCAAATTATGACCACAGTCGGGTTCAGAATTTCTGTTGCTAAGCAAGTTAAGTGAGTCCCACCTGATTTTATGACATTTTTTGCTACAGTTGTTAAGTGAATCACATGGTCCTAAGTGAATCCCATTTCCTCTACTGACATTGTCAGAAGCAGGCTGAGAAGTTTGCAAATGATGATCACATGGCCCTGGGATACTGCAACCGTCATAAATACATGCTGGTTGCCAAGCATGTGAATTTCAATTACATGACCATGGGGATGCTACAATGGTCGTAAGTGTGAGAACCTGTCATAAGTCACTGTTTTCAGTGCAGTTATAATTTCAAACGGTTGCTAAACAAATGATTCTAAATTAAGGATTACGTCTATTATTATTTTTTATTACAGTATTTTCATTTTAATAAGTGTGTTCCTGCTTTTTTTATCAATCCTATTCGCTATTGCTCTCTTCTAACTGCATATAAGACTCTGCAATCCAGTAATTATTGTTATTGAAGAATAGCGCATGCTGCATGCATATTTTTTTCTTAGTTTCATCTCTTCCTTCTTCCAGAACAATACTGAAACAACAGTCTAGTGCCAGACAGCTTAAAATAACCTGATAACGCATTCTGTTTGAGCATCCTCAAATGATGTTTTTGTTCTAATGCAAAGTATTTTAATTATAGCTGCCCATATGGAAATAAACAGTTTGCAACAGGGATAGTCAGGGCCATGAATGACATTATCTTCCATCAAGGATGTAAAAAAAAAATCTATTATATGCATCTTTCCAAGAAAATTTTTGCAATCTATCAAAAAAAAAAAACAGAAACTGCTATGGCACAAATAGTCATGTGCTTTATACTATATCAGTTGTCTTGAAATATTTTTAAACTCCAGCACTGGATATAAAAATGTGTCTGCAGGCAAAAATATACATTTGGCAGTATGCAGAGGAAGAAAAGTATGCATTGGGAATTTTCACGTAAACAACATTATGTATTAAGACTAGTTACATAAAATGAATATATAAGGATAAATTGCATGCAAGTGTACACTGGGAAAATGTATACAAACTAAAATGTGTATTATGTAGGGCAAATGATTTTTTTTCTCTTTTGCTTAAAAAGATCACAATACATTTGTTTGATAGATTAAATCTGGAGGAATGTCGCACTGACATGGATTGGATACAGATTGGATTGGATGCACATTTTTGTTTTTCAGGTTTGTTTATCAAAATGTACTAGCCACTAAAGAGACAGAATTTCTCCTGATTTTTCCATAAAGTATTGGGAAGTACCCAGCCTGGCAGGTAGGAGGACTCAAGTGCAGAATTAGCATGGAGTCACTGCACAAGTGACAAAGGACCAACCTTTGGAGCCTTATCTATTGGTTCCCAAGAGAAGTCTGCCAGTCTGGGGAGATTTCTGTAATTTAGACAGAACTTAATAAAGTAGTTGGGACAGCACATTGGCTCAGTAGTTAAGACTCAAGCCCAGAGTCTTGCTGACTGGAAAGCCAGCAGTTCAGGTTTGAGACCCGAGCACCATGTGATGGGGTGAGCTCCCGTCCTCGTCCAGCTCCTGACAACTTAGCAGTTCGAAAGCATGCAAATGCAAGTAGATAAATAGGTACCACTTCAATAGGAAGATAACAGTGCTCCATGACATCATGCTGGCCACATGACTGTGGAAATGTCTTCAGACAGCACTGGCTCAATGGCCTTGAAATGGAGATGAGCAGGCCCCCCTATTGTCAGCAATAACTAGTGTAGTAAAATCTGCAGGGACTCCTTTATAATAAAATAGTTAGCTTGAACTCTGCATGTATCGGTCTGGTTGCTTGTGGCTGACATAAAGCTCCTGAAAAGTTCCTCCCAGAAGTCAGCAGGAAAAGTAAAAGCACCACTTAGACATGGGTGTGTTTCTACCCACCAGGGTGGGGTTTCTTCCCAAGGGAGATACTTTACGTATCTATCTAACATATTCCATAGCTCTGATGAGCTCAGAGGTGTCTCACTTCCTTCTAAGGGCAATTCTAATGGCTTTCTCCTGAAGTAGAAACTGCTGACGCATGTCGTGAGTGATTACCCACCACTGTCATTGCAACCAACCAGTAAGAATGAGTAAGAATGCTGCCATACATCAGAGGAAAGTGCATATTTCAAAGCTCTGTTAATCATACAAATTGAAACAGGAAATTCTGAACATTCTTTGCAGCTTACCAGGTTCGGGGATGATTAGCTGTGCACTGGTTTGTGCATTCCCAGCTTCATTTTCAGCTACACACTGGTAGAAGCCTTCATCTGATTTTACTAAGCCCAAGATCCGCAGATTGCTGCCTCCCTAAAGAGATAGACACAAGCCAAAGGGTTATCTTGGAGCCGTGAACTCAAGGAAAGGATCAGATTAGGAACAACTTACTTTGAGTATAGGTAGCCCTCGAACTGGGAGTAGAGTTTTTGTTGCTAAGCAAGATGGATAAGTGAATCACATCTGATTTTACAATTATTTGTGTTCATCACTGCAGTTATCAAATTAATCAGGTAGTCATTTATTTATTTATTTATATTTATTTATTTATATTTATTGATCAAATTTATATACCACCGATCTCGCAGTCATGTGACTCAGTTGTTAAATGAATCCAGCTTTCCCCATTGAATTTGCTTGTCAGAAGTTGGCTGGGAAGGTTGCAAATAGTTATAGCACTTAGCCATAGCATTTAGACTTATATATTGCTTCATAGTGTTTTCCAGCACTCTCTAAGCGGTTTTCAGAGTCAGCCTATTGCCCACAACAATCTGGGCCCTCATTTTATTGACCTTGGAAGAATGGAAGGCTGAAACAACCTTGAGATGGTCAGGATTGAACTCTAGGCTGTGGGCAGAATTTGCCTGCAATACTGCATTCTAATCACTGCGCCACCAGGGCTCAGTGGAATATTTCAACCACTGTGAATGCATGCTAGTTGCCAAGCACCTGAATTTTGATCATCTGACCATGGGGATGGTGCAACAGTTGTAAGTCACTTTTTTAGTTGTAACTTCAATGGTTGCTAAACAAATAGTTGTAAATTGAGGGCTATCTGTATGAGCTATCCAAAAATGGATCAGACCTCCTCAGAACATACACAGTGGACTCTCCTTTGTAGAGTCATTTCAACAAAAGCCTGCCTGACCATTTCTGAGGAATGCTCTAGCAAGGGATTCCCAGAAACAGAAGGGGATAATTTTAATAATCTTTGTGCTTCCTTCCAACACTATTAATTTCTAGATACAAAATTCATTTTTAAATTTGTTTGTCAGGTTCAGCATTTGAGTATATATTCCTGCTCTTAGGTCTGCTCTTTCTTTGGCAGGCAAATCATTGTTACCTCAGAAATCAGGTCACCTTGTTGAATCTTTTTTTATCCAGTGATCAACTGAATAATCAACATATAGAGCATAGAATCATAGAGCTGGAAGGGACCTCAGAGGTCTTCTGCTCAAGGCAGGAAACTCTATACCATCCCAGACAAATGTTATTCAGTCTATTTTTGAAAACCTCCATTGATAGAGCACCCATAACTCCAAGAGACAAGCTATTTCATTGATTAATTGTTCTGTCAGAAAAATTCTCCTTAGCTCCAGGTTGAATCTCCCTCTGATGAGCTTCCATGCATTGCTTCTTGTCCTGTCCTCTAGCAGAGGAGAATAAGTCAATCTCCTCTACTCTGTGACTTCCCCTCAAGTATTGGAAGATACTTATCATGTCCCCTAATTTTTCTCTTTGATAGGCTGGACAAACCTAATTTCCTTAACTATACATTATATTTGAATTTCCAAGAAACTACTGAAATGGGATGGACCACTCATTTCCCCCTAAGTGGACTTTCCAATATACTGAGATATCTGTCACATGTCTAGAAATGAATAATGAGCTTCAAAGTTAAGAGATGAGTTATGAGGAGCATAGTGCATCTGTTGTATTTTAAGAGATTAGTGACTAACGTTGTTTGTACTTGTCAGGAAGAAGTCATTTGTATTTTTCTCTGTTTCCATTTCTTCTATTTTTTTACATTTTTATGCATTTTTGTAGTTTGTATTACTTTTTACTTTCTAATTGTGAGCTTTAATAAAATTATATGAAAAAAAAGGTGAGCTGTCACATATCCTTATTTTCTGAAATAATGTTGATTTCCTGATTTTTCTCCTCAGGGAGATAAAGATGATTCATACCAAGCCCAGCTGGGCACTTGAGAAAAATGATTAAAATGATGATGTTTATATTTTATTTTCTGTATTTCCCCTTTTTAAAAACAGCAGGCATTGTTATACGATGCTGTTTTTTTTTTCTAAAATTTCTGGTATATCATAAGAGGTATCTCTAAACTATAGCTTAGCCTAGGATGTTTGTAAAAAAAAGAAGAAGACAATAGCAAAATAAATAAAATAAATACATTTAAACATTACTAATACATTACATCTTAATATATTCAGCATGTGAGATTCCTAATTATAGAAGAAGTTAATATTTCAAAGCCTGAAAAGCCTGAAAGTTAACTTCATTCAGAAAACATTGAATGAGAAAGATATATGCATATATATGTATATGCATAATTTTGTATATATTTATTTATTTGTGTCATATTTATGTAGTGTATATTGGAGGTGGTGACCCTTTGATAGCTGTATGCAACAAAATTTCTTTTTAATGTATGCCAATTAGCCTACATTCAAAGTAACAATAAACAATATTCTATTCTATTCTATTCTATTCTATTCTATTCTATATGTAGATATTTATTCATATGTATCTCCCCTTATCACTATCTTAGAACTTTAATAAAATGTATATTTATTTAAACAAATGTGCTGACTCTTATTTTTTATATGCTGCTATAAAGTCAAGACTATGTTGTTAAAAGAACATAATGCAGAGCAGAAAATAACTCAAATTCCTTATCTAGCACTTCAAATTGACATTAAAAAGACATCTCGACTTCTGGTTCCTGTATGCGGTGATGCCGCTCATGTCTGGGGATTTGTCTCCAGTCCGGCTGGGTTTTATGTGTCGGTAGACCCCTTAGGGGGTCAAAAGTCGCCCTGGAGGGGCGACCACCGAGAAGGAGGCTTGCTGGTGACTGCGGGAGAGCAACAGCTTCTCCCATGGCTCCAGCTATTTCCTTAGGGCTGACGGAGCAACGATCATCCTGCAAGATGGCCGATTATCCTGCTGCACCAGCCGAAGTCACAATTACAGCTAAGCGTAATTAGACCCACCACGGAGGATCCGGGTGAGACCCTTTTTGGTCCTCTCTTTTTCCTATTTTGGCTTTTTTTTACTGCCTCTAAAAACTTGGTTGGAATTATTTCCCCGTTTGGAAAAAGCAGCTTCTGTTTGTGTGGGAAGAAAGGTGCTGAGAACAAAGAATCTTTAAAGACTACATTTTATTTTTATTTATTTTGGGATACAGAAAAAAATGCTTTTTCGAATTGTATTAGTAGTTAATATTGAAAGATTATTTCTTCCTCCACTCTTTCCTTTAAAAGATAGAAAAAAGAGGGGAAAATGCTGTCTGGAAAAGTTTTTTTTATTTACTGAGGACATCTAGTGGTGAAAAATTAATATTGCAACTGTGGAATAGTCTTTGGAGAGAAGGAGCTGACCTTCAAACTATTCCTGGAAAAGATAACCTGATGCAGCTGTGGGAACTGAGGGGATGGACACTGTTTTTTTTTCCTTTTTTTAATAATTTGTTATTTTTCCAAACTCTCCCCCATACATATACTTATCCGATATTAACATACATTCCCTCCACACTCACATACAGATACTTTTAACAAAATGAAATAAATACATACACATAACTTTGGTGTTGCTCGCCCATTTCCCCTTTCACCGTATCCACATTCCTTCTTCTTTACCTTCTTTCTCCCTTTCTTCTCTTCCCTATTTCCTTCTTCTTCCTCTCCTCTCCTTCACCACTCTCCTCCCCTTTCCTCTTCCTCCAGCCTTCCTACTTCCTTCTCCCCTCTTTTACTCTTTTCTCTCTCCTCTCCTTTCTTCATAGGGGATGGACACTGTTTAATTACAACTTTCATTAAATAAAAAAAATAAATAAAGGATTTTCTTTATCCACTTTTAAAATGGAGAAACTTCACTCTCACTTAAATTGCAAGCTTATATTTGAAAAGATTTACGAGGTTACTGAAGAAATATGTGCTATAAGGAAAGGGATTATTACAGAACGAAGAGTCAACTCTACCCCAAACTCTCAAACTGACTTTCAGATCACATCTGTTTATTCTACAAATCAAAATCTACCAGAAGAGGAATTAAGGGAGATTAAAGAGGAATTTGCTACAACGAAAGAGATTACTACAGAACTAAGAACCAGAAATTCCTCCTTAAATCCTAAAAGTGACTTTCTGACTATATCTGACTATTCTACACACCAAAATACACTAAAAGATGACTTCATGGAGGATACAAAGGAACTTATTTCACCTTACAAGCATCTTAGCTATATTTTTGAGGATCAGAAAAAGCAAAGACTGAGATTTGAACCTTTAAAGCACCAAGGCTTCAAGAATAAGAGAAATAGAGGTCCTATGCAGAGGATAGGAGGCTTATTACTGCCTCAAATGGCATCACAAGCAACAAAGAGAGACCCATCGGTTGGAAGGGAAGTGTTGTTATAGAAACCTGCTTGGCAGAAAAAGAAGCCCAGAATAAGACTGAAAATAGAAATTTAAAATTATATATACTGGATTTAAGGCATTTTAGAATTATGGATTGATCTCAGGATTAAGCTCTTGTGTTAGAAATAAGAAAAAATGGGTGATTATTAGAATATATATATTAAATAAAGTAAGAATGTATGCTTTGGAATAATAGGTTTATATGTATGAAAATTATTATATAATGGAATGAAGAAAACTGAAGAGGTGTTCTAGATCGGGATTGAACTAATAATGAATTGAATATTATTTTAATAAGATGATGTGTTTTATCTGCTAATATGGATGGTACTAAGTCTGATAACTAATTGGATGAAATTAGAACCTTGTCTAATGGACTTAAATGATTTAAGGTTGAGATTATTGTGTTAGCCTAAGAAACTGAATGATTGATGGATTAGATATGTATAGGATAGATTAATATTTTATTTTAACTGGGAGATAATAGTGGAAGGAGGAATAAATAAGACTTATGATGAAATTAAATAATTAGGATAGATTTGGAAGCGATACCTGAATTGATAATATGCTTATTTAAAGTTAAATTTGATTATGGTCTTGTAATTGCATAAAGCTGTAAAACAGGTTTAGGATTAACAGAAATTTAAGTTAGAAATAGACTTTTAAATATATAAGCTATTTGAGGGAAAAGAGAGGGAATATTTGATGTATTGATTAAGTTATCTACATATGTTTTGTTTTTGGATTTTTGATTACCCCAACACCACGGTGTGTCTTGAGCACTTTGTATTAAAATTAAAAAATCAATAAAATTTGTTTAAAAAAAAGACATCTTCACTATCTTGCATAGGAGATATTTTTGCACTGTCAGTAGGTTCTTTGTTTTCTTCTTGTTTTTTAAATATTTCTTCTGAGTAAGAAAAATAATTTGAAGGTCATTCTGTTCTATAGCTAAAAAAATTTAAGTTGTCACCCTCTGCCATAAAACTTTGATTTCTAAGTGAGAGCTCAAAATAAATAAATAAAATAGAAGGTTTTGCTTGGAACTGCAGAAAAAATTCCAGGTTAGCAAACTTGTATTATCTGTTTGTCTTTCTTATAAGCAATAATAATATATTTATGGTTAAGGTTGTATGGTCTTGAAAGTTCCTACCAACAAACAGGTCTTTTTTGAAAATAAGGAGAAATGATTCCAAGCCATTTATAAATAAAAGGTGTTTGATTTAGTTTATCACTGTCCATTTATTGACAAAAGATTCTTGTGTCATCAGATTAATATCCTTATGTATGAGATGTGTTAGATCTCTCACAACTAAGTTGTTAAAAATGGGGGAAAGTACTGTGTGGTTCTAATTTTTAAGCCCCAGTAAGCTTCTTCTGAAATAAAAATAACATGCCACATTTGTGAGTGCAGAACTGTCACACAGGCATCCGTTTACAATACTGAATATTAACTTTTGATTTAGCAGTTCTATTAAACATATTACAGATATTCTGTATCAGTGTGCTTCCTTTCTGAGATGTGTGTATATGTTATTTGATAAACGTCTCAATTTTTATAAAATGATGGGCCTTTTCTACAGCAGCACAGTTGCAGTCACTGATAATGTTACCTAGTTGGGTAATGAAACATCTGCAAGAAAACAACCAAACTCAGAAAGCACCAAGGACCCCACCGATCAAAGTAACATAGTTTGATCTGTGGGGTTCTTAGTGATCTCTAAGGTAACTAGGTAACATCATCAGTTCTATCCAGAAAACAACCAGGCTCAGAGAGCATCAAGGACCTAACAGTTTAATTCTGAAGTAAAAATACTCTTTACAGTTTTTGATCTCAATCTTTTTCTCTGAAGATGCATCAAAGCCTCACTTTTTTAAAAAAAACAAAAAACAAAACACTTTTCCAGATCTTTCTATAGTGATAATGTTCTTACACTATTCTCTGGTCGGCCAGGCTACATATTTATAGCTCTGAATAACTTTTTTGACAATTTTTCTCTCTGTTTTCTTGGGAACCTGAGGTACCCTTGAATTTTGCTATGTATTTCATATTTAAGACCATCAGAGGCAGAGGCTTCCCTAAAGAAAAACATATCATGTCACAGATATATTTTACAGTGCTTTCTCTAGTCTGAAATTATAGTTTATTCCAATGGACTCTGTCAGTGTTCACTGGTATGAGGATACCATGGAATCTTCTACAAGATTCTACAAGAATTTAACTGCAGACAGCCAGATTTCTTCTTACAGAAGTCAAAGTATAAAAGTTCAGAACTGAAGAAATCTTTAAACCTCCTGACCTCAAGGACTCCTTTCTGCTCTAGTTTCAGATTTAAACATGAAAATCACTACTACACTCTTTGGTAACTATTGGGCCTGCAGGAGACTGAAAATTGGGAATTCATCTTTTCTTTCTTCTGTTGTCCTCCTGACAGGAAATTTTCTTCAAAGTTATAGTTTTCATTGGGAAGAAGTTCATTTTGCCTTGTTAAAAAGTGCATGTTCAATACAAAAGATTCCTACTTTTTAACATATAACTAAAGGAGGAAGCAAAATCAGAATGAGACTGCTTGGCACGGTAGTTCTGTGTCTCCTTTATGTAAGGCAGTATTTCTCAGAATAACAAAGTTGGAAGGAACCTCGGAGGTATAGAGTCTAACCTCCTGAACAAGGAGAAGACCCCATACCATTTCAAAAATGTGGTTGTGCAATCTCTTCTTAAAAACCTCCAATGATGGCACACCCACAACTTCTGGAGACAAGTCATTCCAGTGGTTAATTGTTCTCATTGTGAGGAAATTTCTCCTTACTTCTAAGGGTTTTCTCTTTGATTAGTTTTCATCCAAACCTCAACAACTTTAAGATATGTGGACTTCAACTCCCAGAATTTTTGGCATGCTGGCTGGGGAATTCTGGATGTTGAAGACCACACATCTTACTGAGGTTGAAAAATACTGATTTATCTGTAAACTGTCTGGTGAGGTCAAAGATACTGAGTGTAGCAGGTCATGGTTGAAGAGAAGTCTCTGAATAAAGTACATTTTGAATAGGGCTCAGTACAAATAAGATATGGGTGCCTCATTGCCTTAAACATATGTCAGAATTGGAAGGAAATTATTGGAAGGATTTTTTTTCAAGGAGGACTAAAATGTTATTGACTCTCTCACTTAACCTGCATTAAGTGAGTAGATCTGATTTGGTCTATAAATCTAGTAGAAATATAGCACAGTGCTACGATATCATTACTCCTAATAGATGATGACTAATTAAAAAATCTAGCTATTAGAAAAGATCAAGAGTGACTAAAAAAAAATACAGAGGGTCACGGGGGAAATGGTTTTCACCTTTTTCCTCTCCATCCTTACTTTCAAAACAATAATTTAATCTGTGTACCTTATTACATTATTAGCTACTGTAAGTGCTAATTTTGAAATCCTTGTTATAGTACCATAAAAAGAACAACAACCCAGATTCACTGGAACCATTTTACAATCTAGGTAGTAACTGTTGAGCTGGTATCACAAGGTGTAATAACAAGTAGTGATAATTACCACTATTTGAAAATAATCACTAGGAATGACAACTTCTCCATTCTTGATCCACTGTACTGAAGGGGCTGGTTTTCCAGAGACCGCACATTCAAACTCGATGTCCATACTTTCATAGGCATAGAGATTTGAAGGGTGAGTGATAAACCACGGAGGAACTGCAAGAACAAAGAGAAAAAGAAGTCAAGGTGGGAATGAAAGATGCTATCAGAAAACAGTTATGCAGTTATTTATCTGTGACAAATCCTCAGCTACCAGACAAAACCTGGTTAGTTGATCAAATTTGGATGATTAAGCTGTTGGTCTAGATACCAGTAGACTGTGAGTTCTAGTCCCACCTCAGGCATGAAAGCTGGCTGAGTATATTTGGGCCAGTCAACATCTCTTGCCAAACCCACCTTAGAGGGTTGTTGTAGTAGGAAAAATAGGAGGAGGAAGGAGTATTAGGTATGTTCAACACCTTGAGTTATCTATAAAAATAATAAAGGATACACACACACATACACACACTGTCCAATTCCATAGTATTGTGATACATAGTCTTTTACTTAACCTGTGATTGGTTTTACCAAATAAACCAGTATGAGCAACGTTTTTCCAAGCCTGCAGGAAGAAGATGTAAGCCAAATGATCTTTTCAGAGGACAAATTCTTATTAAGCTGGCAATTATCTGTTGTCTTGTATTACTATAATGTATTAACACTTTTCCTGTATAGTATGTGATATGCTAATTTAATTTAATTTCATCATTATCATAATACTAGTTATAGTATGATAGAAATTTGCAATTCAAGGGAAACTGCTAATAACATCACATTTCTAATGAGTTTTTCTATCATCAAAAAAGATGGGAGGTGGAGGGAATCCGTCCTGTTCATCAGCTTTCAACAAGGGAACAATATTCATTATTCTGAATATTCATAGCTGCAAGAAAGCCAGATTAGATTTTTAATTTTCAGGATAGCATCCATGGTTTGCTTTTTGACATGGAAAATGCAATTGTGTTTCTGAAGCAGCCATGCGTAATGTCTGAATAATACGGTTTTTACAGTTGTATCAATACAAGCAGGAATTATCTAATAGAATATGCATGTTGCAAAATTATCAGACCTATAGATCATTATATTTATCTTGCAGTTATTGATAGCTAGAGAGTCAGTTTGAGGTGGTGGCTAAAGCATATGATCACCATTTCTGAGCTTCCCAACCGGCTTCTGACAAGCAAAGTCATGAAGTCCAGCATGAAACTGGATTCCTTAACAACTTCATGATTCACTTAACAAGTACAGTGATTTGTTTAACAGCCATGGCAAAAAAAGATCATAAATTTGGGCAGGACTCACATAACCGCTGTCTTGCTGAACAACATAAATTCTGGTCCCAATTGTGATTGTAAGTCCTCAATTTAAAACAGTTCATTTAATAATCATTCGAAGTTATGGCTGATTCGGGAATTCTGGGAGTTGAAGTCCACAAATTATAAAAGGGCCATTGTTCCCCACTCCTGGGTTAAAACATCAAGCCCCAAATTGGGAGACCATAAACTCTAATCCCGCCTTAGGCATGAAAGTCAGCTGGGTGATCATGGGACAGTCACTCTCCCACAACCCTAAGAGGATTTTGTTGCTCAGTCACTAAATCTTGCCCAACTCTTCGTGACCCTATGGACCAAACCTCTACCCAAACCCATATTCATTGCATCAATGACACTATCTAACCATTTCATCCCCTGCCATCCCCTTCTCCTTTTGCCTTCCATCTTTCCCAGCATTAAGGTCTTTTCCAAGGAGTCCTCTCTTCTCATTTGGTGACCAAGGTATTGTATCTTCAGCTTCAGTATCTCCCCTTCCAAAGAACAGACAGGATTGATTTCCTTTAGGACAGCCCTAGGAAGGAGCCAACGGCAAATCATTTCTGAAAAAAACTTGCCCAAAAAACTGCAAGGGCTTGTCCAGGCAGTCCTTGAGAAGTGATCACAATTCAACAGAAGAAAAAAGGAAAGATAAGTAGGTAACCATTAGCCTAAAGCAGGGGTAATCAACCTTGGCTCTTTTATGACTTGTGGACTTCAACTCCCAAAATTCCTGAGCCAGCCATGCTGGGTCAGGAATTCTGGGAGTTGAAGTCCATGAGTCATAAAAGAGCCAACCTGGCCTAAAGGATCTTTATGAAACATTTAATCCCAAAAAAGAAACATATGTTTCTTTAAAAATATACAGCCTTAGTTGGCAGCAAGTCAATATTAAAACAACCATAGCAAAACTAGCAACATTAAAATAACAAGATCAGGATCAAAAACAAGATTTTAAAAGAATTAGATCAAGCAAGAAAAAAAATGTAGGACTACATTAGTTTCTATTTAGTCATTTCGTCTTCTGCAAACTTAATAAATTTGTTCTATAATTTGTTCTCCTCAGAATCAATTTGGAGAACTATGATGCAGTGTGTCAGGCCACTGTAATATGAAATGAATGCTATTGGAGTTCTCCTCTAGCTAGATCCATGAAAACGCTAAGAAAATAGTGACCCTATTAAACCTACTTTGCTTAAAAACATTGTAATTAAAAAGAAAAAATTCAAAGAAAAGCTAAAAAGAACATTCACATATATTATTAACTAAAACAAAATCTTTTTTTTTCCTGAGAAGATTTCTGCAGTATAAAACTATACTGTGACACTGAGAGAAAACCTATTTTTCCCCTCATAAAAGCATTCAAAACAATTGATGCAAGTGCTGAGAACTATACTAAGTTTTTCATTTGGAAAAAAAGATAAAACTGAGAAAAAATTGGAGCACAACTGGAAATCGGTTTTCAGAGAAGTAGCTAAGGAAATGCTACTGTCCAAATGCAATGAATTGAAGAAAAAAATTACTGTTGAGTATAGCATGAATCCAAAATCAATATGTTCATAATTCAGAAATTCTGATGAACCACATTTGTTAACCGTTCCTTAAAAGCTCAGTGGTGGACAATTTGTACCTTTTGTTTCTCACAATTGGATTTCTGTAATTTTTTGTTGTTGTTGTTTCTCTGAAACTGGAATCTTCCAGCTTTTTCTCCTCTAGGGACTCAACAAGGCCTACCCTGCAATCCTTTGTTTATTATTTCTTCACAATGTTGTGACGGAAAGAACACAGAATGACAAGGACTAACCAATATCACTTAATGAGCTTTCACTGGTGAGGGTAAATTTGAAGTTGGGTCTTCCTCCTAATGGAAAACCTTCACTCCTACAAACTACTAGATTTAAAAAAAAAAAAAATTGGGGGGGGGAAGGAATTAGATAACCTTTTCAGTCTCAGGAGCCACTAATTATTTAACTGGTAGTTCAGAAGTCAGAAAGTAATGTAAAATACAGGTAGTCCTTGACTTACAACAGTTCATTTAGTGACCGTTTGAATTTACAACAGCACTGACCTGTGACCATTTTTCACACTTAAAAATAGTCGCCCCATGGTCACATGATCAAAATTCAAATGTTTGGCAACTGGTTCATATTTAAGACGGTTGCAGTGTCCCGGGGTCCTGTGATTAACTTTTGCACCCTTCTGACCAGCAAAGTCAATAGCAAAGCCAGATTCACTTAACAACCATGTTACTAATTTAACAACTGCAGTGATTTGCTTAACAACCGTGGCAAGAAAGGTCGTAGAATGGGGCAAAACTCACTTAACAAATGTCTCACTTAGCAACAGAAATGTTAGGCTCAATTGTGGTCGAGGACTATCTGTACCAAGTTAAAAACAGGCCTGTTGGAGCAAGGTAGTGCAGCAGTAATTCTTCTCCAAAATATCTCTGAGTATTATTAGAATCAGTTTTTATAAAATCGTAAAGGAATATAAATGAAACTCTCTTTTTTTTTAAAAAAAAAAAAAAAGCCTGGAACATTTCTTTTCATCAGATATAGCTATGGACAAATTTGTGTATATCTTTGATAGTGCTAAACAGTTATCAAAGTTAAACAAAGCAATATCTGTTTTCAAAGAGGAATAATATAGAAAGATAAACAAAATCAACCAATAATGACATTAGTTTTCCAGATTTGTCTCCTGGTTGATGTGATGGGAGTTCAACTCACATTATTCCCCAAACAACATGCACAACAGCTGGAGAAATTTAAGAGCCAATTTATTTGTCCGCTATTAGATTTCACAAAGGTGGATGAGGAATGCGAGAGTAGGAGATCAAAGTATTTTTGTAATCAATTCCTAACTGTTCAAAAGAGATAATAATAAATTATTTCAAAAGAGAATGGAGTTCAGTTTCTTTCTTATGCCAGTATACCACTAACAAAGAAACATTTCTGGATGACTTCAAACAACTATTTTCTTTTTATTTTCTCAAAACTTTTTTTCTCTGTATTTGTATCTCATTCTACTCCATGACAAGGACTCAGATGGCAAGAAATGAAATTCTGTATCAAAGACACGCAAGTATTCAAGCTTACAATGAAAAATGCCAAAAATGTTCTATAGTGAGCCCACAAAGGTTTCTCAGCAGCCAGTTGAAAGATTACTGGCAAAGGAGCTAGTTATGGAAAGTGTGACCAGATGACTTTACCATTTTCTCAAAATGTCTTCCTTGGACATGACATCCTCTTTCAGTGAGTAGAGAGTAAAGCCAGAGTAGACAGAGAAAATTTGCTCTTTTCAGATGCATTGAGATTTATTGTGGTTATTCCCAAGGCTATCACAACTGTCACCTAGCTCTGAAGAGACATTTGGGGAAGTGAGAAGTTAGGAAATAGTCTGGTGAACTGATGAGCATTGGGAACTAGGAAATTGTGTTGTGGTGGGCAGATAGAGAGAGAGAGAGAGAGAGAGAGAGAGAGAGAGAGAGAGAGAGAGAGAGACAGTGAGAAAAGAGGAAAAGGCTAATACAGGACAGGGGCTGAAAAATCCATGTTCAAGCTCAGTTTGTAGATGGCTGAAGACCCTGATCTCTGGCTGATGTTCCCAAATGTAGTAAACTCTAATATAGTAAAGCTATTCTAATCCATGCTTTAAACTTGGATTAAGTAAATATGGCATGTACTATCAAAACTTGAGTGAGTAAAGAAAGGAGGTGTCTGTTAGTGAGTTATGCTCACCTGGCTTCAGGTATTACAACAGCCTTGAATTCAAGATGCAGGCAGTGCGCTGTGGCACTTCTCCATT